GGTGGTGCGTGGTGACTGGGGGAGGGTGGTGTGTGGAGACTTGGGGAGGGTGGTGTGTGGAGACTGTTGGAGGGTAGTGAGTGGTGATTGGGGGAGGGTGGTGTATGGAAACTGGGGAGGGTGGTGAGTGGTGACTGGGGGAGGGTGGTGTGTACAGACTGGGGAGGGTGGAGTGAGGTGACTGTAGGAAGGGTGTGTGTGGTGACTGGGGGAGGGTTGTGTGGTGACTGAGAGGGTGGTGTGTGGTGACTGGGGGAGGGTTGTGTGGTGACTGAGAGGGTGGTGTGTGGTGACTGTAAGAGGGTGGTGTGCGGTGACTGGGGGAGGGTTCTGTGGTGACTGTGAGAGGGTGGTATGTGGTGACTATTGGAGGGTGCAGTGTGGTGATTGGGGGAGGGTGTTTTGTGGTGCTTGGGGGAGGGTCATTTGTGGTGACTGTGGGAGGGTGAAATGTGGTGACTGTGGGAAGGTTGTGTGGTGACTGGGGGAGTGTGGTGTGTGGTGACTATGAGAGGGTGGTGTGTGGTGACTAGGGGAGGGTGGTGTGTGGTGACTATGGGAGGGTGGTGTGTGGTGACTGGGGGTGGGTGGTGTGTGGTGACTGGAGGAGGGTGGTGTGTGGGGACTGGGGGAGGGTAGTGTTTGGAGACTGTAGGAGGGTTGTGAGTGGTGACTTGGGAAGGGTTGTGTGGTGACTGTGGGAGGGTGGTGTGTTGTGACTGTAGGAGGATGGAGTGTGGTGACTGGGGGAGGGTTGTGTGGTAACTGTGGGAGAGTTGTGTGTTGTGACTGTGGGAGGGTGGTGTGTAGAGACTGTAGGAGAGTGGTGTGTGGTGACTGGGGGAGAGTTCTGTGGTGACTGTGGGAGGGTGGTGTGTGGTGACTGGCGGAGGGTGGTGTGTGGTGACTGGGGGAGGGTGGTGTGTGGTGACTGTAGAAACATGGTGTGTGGTGAATGGGGGAGGATGGTGTGTGGTGACTGGGGGAGGGTGGTGTGTGGTGACTAAGGGAGGGTTGTGTGGTGGCTGTGGGAGGGTGGTGTGTGGTGACTGTAGGAGGGTGGAGTGTGGTGACTGGGGGAGGGTTGTGTGGTGACTGTGGGAGGGTTGTGTGTCGTGCCTGTGGGAGAATGGTGTATAGAGACTGCAAGAGAGTGGTGTGTGGTGACTGGGGGAGGGTTGTGTGGTGACTGTGGGAGGGTGGTGTGTGGTGACTGTATGAGGGTTGTGTATGATTACTGGGGGAGGGTGGTGTGTGGTGACTGGGAGAGGGTGGTGTGTGGAAACTTTGGGAGGGATGTGTGTGGTGACTCTGGGTGGGTGATGTGTGGTGACTGTAAATGGATGGTGTGTGGTGACTGAGGAAGGGTTGTGTAATGAATGGGGGAATGAGTTGTGTGGTGACTAGTGGAGGGTGGTGTGTGGTGACTGTAGGTGGGTGGTGTGTGGTGAAATGGGGGAGGGTGGTGTGTGGTGACTGAGGGAGGGTGTTGTGTGGTGACTGGGTGAGGGTGGTGTGTGGTGGCTGCAGGAGGGTAATGTGTGGTGACTGGGGGAGGGTGGTGTGTGGTGACTGTGGGAGAGTGCTGTGTGGTGACTGGGGGAGGGTGGTGTGTGGTGATTGTAGGAGGGTGGTGTGTGGTGACTGTAGGAGGGTGGTGTGTGGTGACTGTAGGAGGGTGGTGTGTGGTGACTGTGGGAGGGTGGTGTGTGGTGACTGTGGGAGGGTGGTGTGTGGTGACTGTGGGAGGGTGGTGTGTGGTGACTGGGGGAGGGTGGTGTGTGGTGACTGTAGGAGGGTGGTGTGTGGTGACTGTAGGAGGGTGGTGTGTGGTGACTGTAGGAGGGTGGTGTGTGGTGACTGTAGGAGGGTGGTGTTTTTTGACTGTGGGAGGGTGGTGTGTGGTGACTGTGGGAGGGTGGTGTGTGGTGACTGGGGGAGGGTGGTGTGTGGTGACTGTAGGAGGGTGGTGTGTGGTGACTGTGGGAGAGTGGTGTGTGGTGACTGTGGGAGGGTGGTGTGTGGTGACTGTAGGAGGGTGGTGTGTGGTGACTGTGGGAGAGTGGTGTGTGGTGAATGGGGGAGGGTGGTGTGTGGTGACTGTGGGAGGGTGGTGTGTGGTGACTGTGGGAGAGTGGTGTGTGGTGACTGTGGGAGAGTGGTGTGTGGTGACTGTGGGAGGGTGGTGTGTGGTGACTGTAGGAGGGGGGTGTGTGGTGACTGTGGGAGAGTGGTGTGTGGTGACTGTGGGAGAGTGGTGTGTGGCGACTGTGGGAGAGTGGTGTGTGGTGACTGTGGGAGAGTGGTGTGTGGTGACTGTGGGAGGGTGGTGTGTGGTGACTGTAGGAGGGTGGTGTGTGGTGACTGTGGGAGAGTGGTGTGTGGTGACTGTGGGAGAGTGGTGTGTGGTGACTGTGGGAGGGTGGTGTGTGGTGACTGTAGGAGGGTGGTGTGTGGTGACTGTGGGAGAGTGGTGTGTGGTGACTGGGGGAGGGTGGTGTGTGGTGACTGTGGGAGAGTGGTGTGTGGTGACTGTGGGAGAGTGGTGTGTGGTGACTGTGGGAGGGTGGTGTATGGTGACTGTAGGAGGGTGGACTGTGGTGACTGTGGGAGAGTGGTGTGTGGTGACTGTGGGAGGGTGGTGAGTGGTGACTGTTGGAGGGTGGTGTGTGGTGACTGTGGGAGAGTGTGGTGTGTGGTGACTGGGGGAGGGTGGTGTGTGGTGACTGTGGGAGGGTGGTGTGTGGTGACTGTGGGAGAGTGGTGTGTGGTGACTGTGGGAGAGTGGTGTGTGGTGACTGTGGGAGGGTTGTGTGTCGTGCCTGTGGGAGAATGGTGTATAGAGACTGCAAGAGAGTGGTGAGTGGTGACTGGGGGAGGGTTGTGTGGTGACTGTGGGAGGGTGGTGTGTGGTGACTGTATGAGGGTTGTGTATGATTACTGCGGGAGGGTGGTGTGTGGTGACTGGGAGAGGGTGGTGTGTGGAAACTTTGGGAGGGATGTGTGTGGTGACTCTGGGTGGGTGATGTGTGGTGACTGTAAATGGGTGGTGTGTGGTGACTGAGGAAGGGTTGTGTAATGAATGGGGGAATGAGTTGTGTGGTGACTAGTGGAGGGTGGTGTGGGGTGACTGTAGGTGGGTGGTGTGTGGTGAAATGGGGGAGGGTGGTGTGTGGTGACTGAGGGAGGGTGTTGTGTGGTGACTGGGTGAGGGTGGTGTGTGGTGGCTGCAGGAGGGTAATGTGTGGTGACTGGAGGAGGGTGGTGTGTGGTGACTGTGGGAGGGTGGTGTGTGGTGACTGGGGGAGGGTGGTGTGTGGTGATTGTAGGAGGGTGGTGTGTGGTGACTGTAGGAGGGTGGTGTGTGGTGACTGTAGGAGGGTGGTGTGTGGTGACTGTGGGAGGGTGGTGTGTGGTGACTGTGGGAGGGTGGTGTGTGGTGACTGTGGGAGGGTGGTGTGTGGTGACTGGAGGAGGGTGGTGTGTGGTGACTGTAGGAGGGTGGTGTGTGGTGACTGTAGGAGGGTGGTGTGTGGTGACTGTAGGAGGGTGGTGTGTGGTGACTGTAGGAGGGTGGTGTGTGGTGACTGTAGGAGGGTGGTGTTTTTGACTGTGGGAGGGTGGTGTGTGGTGACTGTGGGAGGGTGGTGTGTGGTGACTGGGGGAGGGTGGTGTGTGGTGACTGTAGGAGGGTGGTGTGTGGTGACTGTGGGAGGGTGGTGTGTGGTGACTGTAGGAGGGTGGTGTGTGGTGACTGTGGGAGGGTGGTGTGTGGTGACTGGGGGAGGGTGGTGTGTGGTGACTGTAGGAGGGTGGTGTGTGGTGACTGTGGGAGAGTGGTGTGTGGTGACTGTGGGAGAGTGGTGTGTGGTGAATGTGGGAGGGTGGTGTGTGGTGACTGTAGGAGGGTGGTGTGTGGTGACTGTGGGAGAGTGGTGTGTGGTGACTGGGGGAGGGTGGTGTGTGGTGATTGTGGGAGAGTGGTGTGTGGTGACTGTGGGAGGGTGGTTTTTTTTTTTTTTTTTTTTTTTTATTATTTTCTACCACAGGACGTGGCCACACATTTACAATGCTAACCAGCATATATACATTTTCTTCTGTCCTCCATGGACAGGGTTAGAGAAGTGTTAAACATACAGTTCAAGGGTTTATACTGTGGGAGAGTGGTGTGTGGTGACTGTGGGAGGGTGGTGTGTGGTGACTGTAGGAGGGTGGTGTGTGGTGACTGTGGGAGGGTGGTGTGTGGTGACTGTGGGAGGGTGGTGTGTGGTGACTGTAGGAGGGTGGTGTGTGGTGACTGTGGGAGAGTGGTGTGTGGTGAATGGGGGAGGGTGGTGTGTGGTGACTGTGGGAGGGTGGTGTGTGGTGACGGTTGGAGAGTGGTGTGTGGTGACTGTGGGAGAGTGGTGTGTGGTGACTGTGGGAGGGTGGTGTGTGGTGACTGTAGGAGGGGGGTGTGTGGTGACTGTGGGAGAGTGGTGTGTGGTGACTGTGGGAGAGTGGTGTGTGGCGACTGTGGGGGAGGGTGGTGTGTGGTGACTGTGGGAGAGTGGTGTGTGGTGACTGTGGGAGGGTGGTGTGTGGTGACTGTAGGAGGGTGGTGTGTGGTGACTGTGGGAGAGTGGTGTGTGGTGACTGTGGGAGAGTGGTGTGTGGTGACTGTGGGAGGGTGGTGTGTGGTGACTGTAGGAGGGTGGTGTGTGGTGACTGTGGGAGAGTGGTGTGTGGTGACTGGGGGAGGGTGGTGTGTGGTGACTGTGGGAGAGTGGTGTGTGGTGACTGTGGGAGAGTGGTGTGTGGTGACTGTGGGAGGGTGGTGTGTGGTGACTGTAGGAGGGTGGTGTGTGGTGACTGTGGGAGAGTGGTGTGTGGTGACTGTGGGAGGGTGGTGTGTGGTGACTGTAGGAGGGTGGTGTGTGGTGACTGTGGGAGAGTGGTGTGTGGTGACTGTGGGAGGGTGGTGTGTGGTGACTGTGGGAGGGTGGTGTGTGGTGACTGTGGGAGAGTGGTGTGTGGTGACTGTGGGAGAGTGGTGTGTGGTGACTGTGGGAGGGTGGTGTGTGGTGACTGTCGGAGGGTGGTGTGTGGTGACTGTGGGAGAGTGGTGTGTGGTGACTGTGGGAGAGTGGTGTGTGGTGACTGTGGGAGGGTGGTGTGTGGTGACTGTAGGAGGGTGGTGTGTGGTGACTGTGGGAGGGTGGTGTGTGGTGACTGTGGGAGGGTGGTGTGTGGTGACTGTGGGAGGGTGGTGTGTGGTGACTGTGGGAGAGTGGTGTGTGGTGACTGTAGGAGGGTGGTGTGTGGTGACTGTGGGAGAGTGGTGTGTGGTGACTGTGGGAGGGTAGTGTGTGGTGACTGTGGGAGAGTGGTGTGTGGTGACTGTGGGAGGGTGGTGTGTGGTGACTGTAGGAGGGTGATGTGTGGTGACTGTGGGAGAGTGGTGTGTGGTGACTGTGGGAGGGTGGTGTGTGGTGACTGTGGGAGGGTGGTGTGTGGTGACTGTGGGAGGGTGGTGTGTGGTGACTGTGGGAGGGTGGTGTGTGGTGACTGTGGGAGGGTGGTGTGTGGTGACTGTAGGAGGGTGGTGTGTGGTGACTGTGGGAGAGTGGTGTGAGGTGACTGTGGGAGGGTGGTGTTTGGTGACTGTAGGAGGGTGGTGTGTGGTGACTGTTGGAGGGTGGTGTGTGGTGACTGTAGGAGGGTGGTGTGTGGTGACTGTAGGAGGGTGGTGTGTGGTGACTGTGGGAGAGTGGTGTGTGATGACTGTGGGAGGGTGGTGTGTGGTGACTGTAGGAGGGTGGTGTGTGGTGACTGTGGGAGGGTGGTGTGTGGTGACTGTGGGAGGGTGGTGTGTGGTGACTGTGGGAGAGTGGTGTGTGGTGACTGTAGGAGGGTGGTGTGTGGTGACTGTGGGAGAGTGGTGTGTGGTGACTGTGGGAGGGTGGTGTGTGGTGACTGTGCGAGAGTGGTGTGTGGTGACTGTAGGAGGATGGTGTGTGGTGACTGTAGGAGGGTGGTGTGTGGTGACTGTGGGAGGGTGGTGTGTGGTGACTGTGGGAGGGTGGTGTGTGGTGACTGTAGGAGGGTGGTGTGTGGTGACTGTAGGAGGGTGGTGTGTGGTGACTGTGGGAGAGTGGTGTGTGGTGACTGTGGGAGGGTGGTGTGTGGTGACTGTAGGAGGGTGGTGTGTGGTGACTGTAGGAGGGTGGTGTGTGGTGACTGTAGGAGGGTGGTGTGTGGTGACTGTGGGAGGGTGGTGTGTGGTGACTGTAGGAGAGTGGTGTGTGGTGACTGTGGGAGGGTGGTGTGTGGTGACTGTGGGAGGGTGGTGTGTGGTGACTGTAGGAGGGTGGTGTGTGGTGACTGAGGGAGGGTGGTGTGTGGTGACTGGGGGAGGGTGGTGTGTGGTGACTGTGGGAGGGTGGTGTGTGGTGACTGTGGGAGGGTGGTGTGTGGTGACTGTAGGAGGGTGGTGTGTGGTGACTGTAGGAGGGTGGTGTGTGGTGACTGTAGGAGGGTGGTGTGTGGTGACTGTAGGAGGGTGGTGTGTGGTGACTGTGGGAGGGTGGTGTGTGGTGACTGTGGGAGGGTGGTGTGTGCATGGTGACTGTAGGAGGGTGGTGTGTGGTGACTGGGGGAGGGTGGTGTGTGGTGACTGTGGGAGGGTGGTGTGTGGTGACTGTGGGAGGGTGGTGTGTGGTGACTGTGGGAGAGTGGTGTGTGGTGACTGTAGGAGGGTGGTGTGTGGTGACTGTGGGAGGGTGGTGTGTGGTGACTGTGGGAGGGTGGTGTGTGGTGACTGTGCGAGAGTGGTGTGTGGTGACTGTAGGAGGATGGTGTGTGGTGACTGTAGGAGGGTGGTGTGTGGTGACTGTGGGAGCGTGGTGTGTGGTGACTGTGGGAGGGTGGTGTGTGGTGACTGTAGGAGGGTGGTGTGTGGTGACTGTAGGAGGGTGGTGTGTGGTGACTGTGGGAGAGTGGTGTGTGGTGACTGTGGGAGAGTGGTGTGTGGTGACTGTGGGAGGGTGGTGTGTGGTGACTGTAGGAGGGTGGTGTGTGGTGACTGTGGGAGGGTGGTGTGTGGTGACTGTAGGAGGGTGGTGTGTGGTGACTGTGGGAGGGTGGTGTGTGGTGACTGTAGGAGAGTGGTGTGTGGTGACTGTGGGAGGGTGGTGTGTGGTGACTGTGGGAGGGTGGTGTGTGGTGACTGTAGGAGGGTGGTGTGTGGTGACTGAGGGAGGGTGGTGTGTGGTGACTGGGGGAGGGTGGTGTGTGGTGACTGGGGGAGGGTGGTGTGTGGTGACTGGGGAAGGGTGGAGTGTGGAGACTGTAGGAGGGTGGTGTGTGGTGACTGGGGGAGGGTGGTGTGTGGTGACTAGGGAAGGGTGGTGTGTGGTGACTGTGGGAGGGTGGTGTGTGGAGATTGTAGGAGGGTGGTGTGTGGAGACTGGGAGAGGGTGGTGTGTGGTGACTGAGGGAGGGTGGTGTGTGGTGACTGTAGGAGGGTGGTGTGTGGTGACTGTGGGAGGGTGGTGTGTGGTGACTGTGGGAGGGTGGTGTGTGGTGACTGTAGGAGGGTGGTGTGTGGTGACTGTGGGAGGGTGGTGTGTGGTGAATGGGGGAGGGTGGTGTGTGGTGACTGTGGGAGGGTGGTGTGTGGTGAGGGTGGTGTGTGGTGACTGTGGGAGAGTGGTGTGTGGTGACTGTGGGAGGGTGGTGTGTGGTGACTGTGGGAGGGTGGTGTGTGGTGACTGTGGGGAGGGGGTGTGTGGTGACTGTGGGAGAGTGGTGTGTGGTGACTGTGGGGGAGAGTGGTGTGTGGTGACTGTGGGAGAGTGGTGTGTGGTGACTGTAGGGGAGGAGGGTGGTGTGTGGTGACTGTGGGAGGGTGGTGTGTGGTGACTGTAGGAGGGTGGTGTGTGGTGACTGTGGGAGAGTGGTGTGTGGTGACTGTGGGAGGGTGGTGTGTGGTGACTGTAGGAGGGTGGTGTGTGGTGACTGTGGGAGAGTGGTGTGTGGTGACTGGGGGAGGGTGGTGTGTGGTGACTGTGGGAGAGTGGTGTGTGGTGACTGTGGGAGAGTGGTGTGTGGTGACTGTGGGAGGGTGGTGTGTGGTGACTGTAGGAGGGTGGTGTGTGGTGACTGTGGGAGGGTGGTGTGTGGTGACTGTGGGAGGGTGGTGTGTGGTGACTGGGGGAGGGTGGTGTGTGGTGACTGTGGGAGAGTGGTGTGTGGTGACTGGGGGAGGGTGGTGTGTGGTGACTGTGGGAGGGTGGTGTGTGGTGACTGTGGGAGAGTGGTGTGTGGTGACTGTGGGAGGGTGGTGTGTGGTGACTGTGGGAGGGTGGTGTGTGGTGACTGTGGGAGGGTGGTGTGTGGTGACTGTGACTGGAGGAGGGTGGTGTGTGGTGACTGTGGGGAGAGTGGTGTGTGGTGACTGTGGGAGAGTGGTGTGTGGTGACTGTGGGAGGGTGGTGTGTGGTGACTGTAGGAGGGTGGTGTGTGGTGACTGTGGGAGGGTGGTGTGTGGTGACTGTGGGAGGGTGGTGTGTGGTGACTGTGGGTGGGTGGTGTGTGGTGACTGTGGGAGGGTGGTGTGTGGTGACTGTAGGAGGGTGGTGTGTGGTGACTGTGGGAGTGGTGTGGTGTGTGGTGACTGTGGGTGGGTGGTGTGTGGTGACTGTGGGAGAGTGGTGTGTGGTGACTGTGGGAGGGTGGTGTGTGGTGACTGTGGTGTGTGGGAGGGTGGTGTGTGGTGACTGTGGGAGGGTGGTGTGTGGTGACTGTGGGAGGGTGGTGTGTGGTGACTGTGGGAGGGTGGTGTGTGGTGACTGTGGGAGGGTGGTGTGTGGTGACTGTGGGAGGGTGGTGTGTGGTGACTGTGGGAGGGTGGTGTGTGGTGACTGTAGGAGGGTGGTGTGTGGTGACTGTGGGAGGGTGGTGTGTGGTGACTGTGGGAGGGTGTGTAGGAGGGTGGTGACTGTACTGGAGGGTGGTGTGTGGTGACTGGGGAGGGTGGTGTGTGGGACTGTAGGAGGGTGGTGTGTGGTGACTGTAGGAGGGTGGTGTGTGGTGACTGTAGGAGGGTGGTGTGTGGTGACTGTAGGAGGGTGGTGTGTGGTGACTGTGGGAGGGAGGGTGGTGTGTGGTGACTGTAGGAGAGGGTGGTGTGTGGTGACTGTGGGAGGGTGGTGTGTGGTGACTGTAGGAGGGTGGTGTGTGGTGACTGTGGGAGGGTGGTGTGTGGTGACTGTGAGAGGGTGGTGTGTGGTGACTGTGGGAGGGTGGTGTGTGGTGACTGTGGGAGGGTGGTGTGTGGTGACTGTGGGAGGGTGGTGTGTGGTGACTGTGGGAGGGTGGTGTGTGTAGGAGGGTGGTGTGTGGTGACTGTAGGAGGGTGGTGTGTGGTGACTGGGGGAGTGTGGTGTGTGGTGACTGTGGGAGGGTGGTGTGTGGTGACTGTAGGAGGGTGGTGTGTGGTGACTGTAGGAGGGTGGTGTGTGGTGACTGTGGGAGACTGGGACTGGGGAGGGTGGTGTGTGGTGACTGTGGGAGGGTAGTGTGTGGTGACTGTAGGAGGGTGGAGTATGGTGACTGGAGGAGGGTTGTATGGTGACTGTGGGAGAGTTGTGTGTGGTGACTGTGGGAGAGTGGTGTGTGGTGACTGGGGGAGGGTTGTGTGTGGTGACTGGGGGAGGGTGGTGTGTGGTGACTGTAGGAGGGTGGTGTGTGGTGACTGAGGGAGGGTGGTGTGTGGTGACTGGGGAGGGTGGTGTGTGGTGACTGGGGGAGGGTGGTGTGTGGTGACTGGGGAAGTGTGGAGTGTGGAGACTGTAGGAGGGTGGTGTGTGGTGACTGGGGGAGGGTGGTGTGTGGTGACTAGGGAAGGGTGGTGTGTGGTGACTGTGGGAGGGTGGTGTGTGGTGATTGTAGGAGGGTGGTGTGTGGTGACTGGGAGAGGGTGGTGTGTGGAGTGGGGGAGGGTGGGTGTGGAGACTGAGGGAGGGTGGTGTGTGGAGACTGTAGGAGGGTGGTGTGTGGAGACTGGGGGAGGGTGGTATATGGAGATTGTAGGAGGGTGGTGTGCGGAGACTGTAGGAGGGTGGTGTGTGGTGACTGGGGAGGGTGGGGAGGGTGGTGTGGTGGTGACTGTAGGAGGGTGGTGTGTGGTGACTGGGGGAGGGTGGTGTGTGGTGACTGTTGGAGGGTTGTATGTGGAGACTGAGGGAGGGTGGTGTGTGGAGGGTGGTGTGTGGTGACTGTAGGAGGGTGGTGTGTGGTGAGACTGTAGGAGGGTGGGTGTGTGGGTGACTGTAGGAGGGTGGTGTGTGGTGACTGTAGGAGGGTGGGTGTGGTGGTGACTGTAGGAGGGTGGTGTGTGGAGACTGGTGAGGAGGGTGGTGTGTGGTGACTGGGGGAGGGTGGTGTGGGTGGTGTGTAGGAGGGTGGTGTGTGGAGGGTGGTGTGGGGACTGTAGGAGGGTGGTGGTGTGGGTGACTGTAGGAGGGTGGTGTGTGGAGACTGAGGGACTGGGGAGGGTGGGGTGGTATATGGAGATTGTGACTGAGGGAGGGTGGTGTGTGGTGACTGGAGGAGGGTGGTGTGTGGTGACTGTAGGAGAGTGGTGTGTGTGGTGACTGTGGGAGGGTGGTGTGTGGTGACTGTGGGAAGGTGGTGTGTGGTGACTGCAGGAGGGTGGTGTGTGGTGACTGGGGGGGGGTGGTGTGTGGTCCCATTAGGAGGGTGGTGTGTGGTGACTGTAGGAGGGTGGTGTGTGGTGACTGTGGGAGGGTGGTGTGTGGTGACTGTAGGAGGGTGGTGTGTGGTGACTGAGGGAGGGTGGTGTGTGGTGACTGGGGGAGGGTGGTATATGGAGATTGTAGGAGGGTGGTGTGTGGAGACTGTAGGAGGGTGGTGTGTGGAGACTGGGGGAGGGTGGGGTGTGGTGACTGGGTGTGGGGTGGGGTGTGGTGACTGTAGGAGGGTGGTGTGTGGTGACTGTGGGAGGGTGGTGTGTGGTGACTGGGGGAGGGTGGTGTGTGGTGACTGTGGGAGGGTGGTGTGTGGTGACTGTAGGAAGGTGGTGTGTGGTGACTGGGGGAGGGTGTGTGGTGACTGGGGGAGGGTGGTGTGTGGTGACTGTAGGAGGGTGGTGTGTGGTGACTGTAGGAGGGTGGTGTGTGGTGACTGAGGGAGGGTGGTGTGTGGTGACTGGGGGAGGGTGGTGTGTGGAGACTGTGGGAGGGTGGTGTGTGGAGACTGTAGGAGGGTGGTGTGTGGTGACTGGGGGAGGGTGGTGTGTGGAGACTGGAAGAGTGTGGTGTGTGGAGACTGGGGGAGGGTGGTGTGTGGTGACTGGGGGAGGGTGGTGTGTGGTGACTGTAGGAGGGTGGTGTGTGGTGACTGGGGGAGGGTGGTGTGTGGAGACTGGGGGAGGGTGGTGTGTGGAGGACTGTGTGGGAGGGTGGTGTGTGGTGACTGGGGGAGGGTGGTGTGGTGACTGGGGAGAGGGTGGTGTGTGGTGACTGGGGGAAGGTGGTGTGTGGTGACTGGGGGAGGGTGGTGTGTGGTGACTGGAGGAGGGTGGTGTGTGGTGACTGGGGGAGGGTGGTGTGTGGTGACTGGAGGAGGGTGGTGTGTGGAGACTGGGGGAGGGTGGTGTGTGGAGACTGGGGGAGGGTGGTGTGTGGGACTGGAGGGAGGGTGGTGTGGGTGACTGGGGACGGTGGTGTGTGGTGACTGGGGAGGGTGGTGTGTGGTGACTGGGGGAGGGTGGTGTGTGGTGACTGTAGGAGGGTGGTGTGTGGTGACTGGGGGAGGGTGGTGTGTGGTGACTGGGGGAGGGTGGTGTGTGGAGACTGGGGAGGGTGGTGTGTGGTGACTGGAGGAGGGTGGGTGTGTGGTGACTGGGGAGGGTGGTGTGTGGTGACTGGAGGGAGGGTGGACTGAGGGAGGGGGGACTGTAGGGGAGGGGTGTGTGGAGACTGAGGGAGGGTGGTGTGTGGGACTGGGGGAGGGGGTGTGGTGACTGTAGGAGGGTGGTGTGTGGTGGGGGAGGGTGGTGTGTGGTGACTGAGGGAGGGTGGTGTGTGTGACTGGAGGGTGGTGTGTGGTGACTGGGGGAGGGTGGTGTGTGGAGACTGGAGGAGGGTGGTGTGTGGTGACTGAGGGGTGGTGTGTGGTGACTGGGGGAGGGTGGTGTGTGGGACTGGGGGGTGGTGTGTGGTGACTGGGGGAGGGTGGTGTGTGGTGACTGAGGGAGGGTGTGGTGACTGGGGAGGGTGGTGTGTGGGGAGGGTGGTGTGTGGTGACTGGAGGAGGGTGGTGTGTGTGGGATGGGTGTGTGGGACTGGAGGGTGTGGTGTGTGGTGACTGGGGGAGGGTGGTGTGTGGTGACTGGAGGAGGGTGGTGTGTGGTGACTGTAGGATGGTGGTTTGTGGTGACTGGGGGAGGGTGGTGTGT